CGAGATATGACTTGCGTCTCCTCGCTTTTTCATATTTAAATTGTTAGGTGAAAGTACCTAAAGGCATAAAAGTCGTAAAAGATAAACAAAGATATTCACATTTTCTTAAAAAAAAAAAAAAATCTGACACCTTTATCTCCTATTCGGTAGCATGAAAATATCACTTTATATCTTTCTTCGTTTCTGTTTCTGCTATCTGTCTCTCTGTCTCTCTCTCTCTCTCTCTCTTTCCTTCTCTATCTTTGTCTTTGTCTGTCTGTCTCTCTCTCTCTCTCTCTTCTCCTCTCTCTCTGTCTCTCTCTCTCTCTGTGTCTCTTTATTTGTCTCTTCTTTCTCTCTTTGTTTCTGTTCTCTCTCTCTCTCTCTCTCTCTCTCTCTCTCTCTCTCTCTCTCTCTCTTCTCTCTCTCTCTCTCTCTCTCTCTCTCTCCCCTCTTCCTCTCTCTCTGTCTCTCTCTCTCTCTCTCTCTCTCTCTCTCTCTCTCTCTCTCTCTCTCTCTCTCTCTCTCTGTGTCTCAAAATGCGCTCTGTCAGATATTCATGTTTAGACTTCACCTGTACATTAATGTCTACTTGACTCTTCCTGTCGATTGTCCCTTAATAAAGATTAAATCCAACAGGACATTAAGGAAGATTTATCGGGAAAAAAAACATAACGTGATTAATCAGAAAATGAAGCTGAAACGGATATCATTGGTATGAATTTAATGAAGGCTGATCACAGGATTAAATGATGGGGGAGGGGGGGAGGGGGGAGAGGCTGAAAAAAAAGTAATTTAGATATTAATCTGAAAGTGATATGGAAGTAAGTCCGTCTACTAAAGCCGTAAATACAACTACAATTGGTATTATCATTTTATCATTATGATTTTCATCATTCTAATTATTATTACAATTATCATTATTACTTTAATTCTCATCTTTATCATTACTATTTCAATTATCATTATTGTTGTTACTTTTATTATCAATATCATGATCTTTATTATTATGATTATCACTATTAGTATTATCATGATCAGTATTATAATTATCATATCGTCTTCATCAACAACAACAACAATAATAATAACAATTATACCAATAATACTATTGTCATTATAAGTATCGTTACTATTATCTTTATAAGTATCGTTACTATTGTCATTATAAGTATCGTTATTATTATCATTATCATGTCACTATAATTATCCTCCTCCTCCTCTTCCACTTTCTGTTATCAATTTCCTCCAAGGGGGGGGGGCAAATTTCTTCCCCCTTCACGGCTCTTTGAGGAAAAATCATTGCTTAAGCATCCCAAGAAATAAAAAAAAAATCTCAATAAGAAACGAAAGCATTTTAATAAAAAGAAAGAAAGATAAAAATAAAACTAGATGTTACAGTCTTGTTCAGAGAAAGATTAAGAGACAGAGGAAGGTCTTCTGAGAAACACGTCTTGAGGAGGAAAATAACTGCCTGAGATTTTATTAATTTCTCTGTTTATCTATTTATTAATATTATTTTTATTATCATCATTTGGTGGAAAGCCTCTGCTGCCTCTGAGCTGCCGTCTAATAGAAAACGGAAGAGCATGTAGGATAAAAAACGGAGCACCGCCGTCCCTGAAGAGCATGTAGGAATAGCAAACGGAGCGACTTGTCCCCTTCAACACTATTTAACAGAGTGTGTAGTAGGTTGGAGGAAGTTTCTACGAGTGTACAGCCTCGAGCAGAAGTCGTGCCGCGAATGAAGCTCCGAAGCAGAGAGGGTCACGTGTCATTTCGCTG